ATTATTATTTAAATATTATTAAGAAAATTGTCAAGAAGCTTTATAATAAAATGCCAATTGCCAACATAAAGCGATTAACTACCATACCTATGTTGGTCTAGAGCAACATGTTAAGGTCGCCACTGGGTACAACACATATTAGATGTTGTGTTAGCTACCTCTACCTCTCTTGTTGATAATATTAGAGTCTTGGAACCTTTTTGTAATAGTGATCACAATATCATTCATGCTTCATTAAAATTAGACCGTTATTCACCTCCCTCGAGATTTTCTAGAAGTTACCGTCACTGTAATTATGAAATCTTTAACTCTATCCTCGCAGAAATAAACTGTGATTTCTTATTCTGTTTAACTCCCTCTATCGATGAAAAAGTTAATTTTCTTAATAGCAACATTTTATATCTAATAGACCAATATATCTCTTTAAGAAAAACGAACCCACTTAGGTCGATTCCCACTTTTCAAAAATCCTTTAAGAAAATTGTCAAGAAGCTTTATAATAAATATCAATTAACCAAATTGCCAAATGACCTCTCTGCATATAAAGAAAGCTTAAAAAGTTTCCGCAGCGCCATTCATAATTACTTTTCAAATAAAGAAGAACAATTTTTAAATATTGATAGAAATTCTTTCTGGACCTATATCAAAAGAAAATTTGCAAATCCACGTAAACAATTAATTCTGCAACATAATGATAATGTGATCACCTCTGATATTGATATTGCAAATATATTTAATCAGTTTTTTTCTAGGGTGTTTACTGAAGATAATACTCATACTTCCTGTTTTAACGTAAATCGAATTTGTTGCACTTCTCTCTGCGAGATTGAAATAACACTACTGGATGTTTGTGATGCCTTAAATAGACTTAAGCCGTCCATTTCCCGATAACATTCCACAAATAATTTATAAAAATGCGCAGTCTCTCTGAGTCTTCCCCTATTTTTAATTTATAAAGATATTATGAAGTCTGGCCTTAATCCCAAAATTTGGAAATTGTCCCATATAGTTCCCATTCATAAAAAAGGAAGCACCTATGACGCTTCTAATTACAGACCTATTAGCTTAACATGTGTTGGTAGCAAGGTACTTGAAAGGTTGATTTGCAACAAATTGCTTATTTATCTTGATGCCAATAATTTTATATCTTCTTATCAGCATGGCTTTTGTACAAAAAAATCTACTTCTTCACAAATATTGGCAAATCTCCCTGATTGGTCAGCATCAATTGACAATGGAAAAAGTATCAGTTGTGTACCTATATTTGGCTAAGGCTTTTGATACTGTTCCCCATAGCAAATTATTGGTCACTCTTAATAGTTATGGCATAACAGGGGACCTCTATAACTGGGTTTCAGATTACATAAAAGATCGTTTTTATTATTCTCATGGTAGAACGGATAGCCTATCTCCACTGCAGGAGGACCTCAACAGAATAGCTGACTGGCTATATGACAGGAAAATTACCCTTTCTTTTCAAAAATGTAGCCTTCTTCACATCAACTCTAAAGGATTCGATCTTCCTAACCTTTTTATAAATGGTAATTTAATCAATAGAGTGTCACACATCTCCGATCTTGGAATAATCATGGATAAAAATCTCGATTTCGATCTTCACTGCAGAACCATAATAATCCTCAAGGATACTAAATTTTATTTTTCGTTCGTTTAAGAACAAAACTGAAATCTTATCAAATTATACAAAGCATTCGTTCGGTTTCTTCTTGACTACAATACTATATGTTACTCCCCTAGACATCGCAAAACAGGTAAAATAATTGAAGGACTCCAAAAATATTTTCTAAGACGCCTCTCTCCTAATAAAAATTATAATTTTAATTATAAAAGAACACTTCTACAACATAACATGGATTCTCTCTCAGTTCGTAGAATTAAACAAGATTTAATTTATAAGATTCTGTATGGTTATGTTAAACTAGATTGCTCGAAATTTTATAACTTTAGACTAAATTTGAATCCAACAAGAACTAATGGCTTAAAATTATTAAAACCTATATGCAAACTAAGGACTCATGACTTCTTTATTCGTACTATTAATTACTGGAACAAATTACCGAACGATGTAGTTTGTGCGTCATCCTTAGCTGTCTTTAAAAAAAGACTAGATAATATCATTTACGATATTATTTAAAAACAAAAAAAAGAGAAGAGTTTACACCAGGCAAGAACTGCAGGAAGTGAGAAATCTCAATTTTATCTTCAGGTTATATATGTTACTTCGAATTGTACTATATTATATTGATCTGTAATTTCCTCTTTAAATTGTTAATTTTTGTCATATTGTTTTATAATTAATTTTGTTTAAGTTATATATTTTTTTTTTGTTTTTTTTTTCTGTTATCTTAATTGTTATTATTAATACAAGCACATGGCTTTGTCGCCCTGCTTGGCTGGTTATCAATAAATAAATAAATAAATTATAAAAACAATCAATTGTCAGCCTTCAACATCAAACAAAAACATTACCTGTATAAGCAACAGTCAAATCCCATCCAGGTTTTGCCCATGTGCGCGAGCGAATATCATTACGATCCACTAGATTTTTGTAAGCCCAAATGTGAAATACTGTATACAAAAATCCAACCTAAAGAATTAACCAAATGTCACAAAATGGCAAAAAATTATGAAATGGAAAATGAGAAATTTTCTACAATTTTTTTGAGATATTTTGAAATATTCATTACAAATCCAAAAAACCATTTCTCACCAATAATTATAAGCCATTTTGAACAGATTACCAACGTATAAAAATTTACTTTTGTAAAGAAACCTCCGACATCTTGATTATGCTCACGACGATATGTAATTCCTGTAGCCCAGGCATTACCCCACTCAATCATCGTACCTGGCTGAAAAAATCAGACCATAAATGAACAAATGAAATTTTTCCATTTATTATTTCATTGAAATGTATTCTCTTCTTGAAATGATGAAATATTTAAATTTAAAAAATTTTTAAATTTTTAAAATTTTTAAAATATCTGGTTGCAATCGAGTAAACAAATACTCTTAGCTTATATGTTCGCAGCTCATAAATATGCGATGACCGTCGAGGTTTTGGTTCATCCCAATATCCAAATGGCTGCGTTAAAACATTTTCCTGTTGAATAAGAAGTGTGGAAAATCGTCTCTCAAGATCTTTTAATGATGCTGTATTCATAACTTCAATTGATCTTAAATAATTCCACTGTTTTGATTTAAAAACGTTCAACCATAATTTTATAGGTCAGAAAAGTTATAGAAAAGATTTTCCTTTCAAAGAAAATATCAATTTATTGCTGCTTTCTGATAAAAATAAAACAACCGATCAACATCGGCATATCCATTATTATATCGCCATAAATGAACTGCTTGGTTCCTTTTACTATAAAGTACTTTCCAACTCCCAAGTAGCTCAACTCCATCAACCACTTTTTTCATTTCTTTTGCGTAATCGCCGTAAATCTCCAAATATATTTCAAAGTCACCTTGTTTCGCATCGTGTGCTAAATTTATTATTTTTTCAACAACATTCTTAATTATTTTACAAATATTTTTTAAACAAACTTTAGATAAATATCTCAATAACTCATTTTTTGGACGAAATGAAAGATGAAAATTAATTTATCACCATTACTATTATTATACTATTATACTATTATTATTATTGCTATTAGCATCTCTCCTCTTCTAACATGCATTAACTGATTTCTTTGACTACAGCAGCAAATCTCTGTTCTGTTCTGATGCCACATATGAAAGTAATCACCTAAGCGTACGCAGCCACCAATGCGTTCAAAATGTCCTTTGGCCGTATCAATCAAGATCTTTATTATGGGCCAATAATAGAAGAACATGGCCTAATAATGCCTTGCGAAGATACCACAGCGAAGATGAATGCAAATGCGTGAAATATCAAATAAGCAAGGAAGAAATAATCAAAAGCCCGTTAAGGACTTACCCACAGCTCTTTCTTCATCCACTCTCACTAGCCACGTCTCGAAGTAGGACTTATGCAGGAAGATTGAAATTTTATTTTTATGCTGATTTCTAAAGATTCCACAAAAACTTCAATAAATGAAAAAAAGCACTGCAGCTGTGCGAGCTGAAGTTTCGTCTACGGCTATTCGGTATAAAAGCGCACAAAAGACATTTTAAAGATACATCTTCATCCTTTAATCAGCATCAGCATCTACGTAAGAGCCTCCTCTTACTTAAAATTGATCTGCAGCCAAAATTTCATTGCAATTATCAGTCCGATAATTTGCTACCTTTTTCGTAATTATCAGCAAAGATAACTACACCATCAACGTATCTCTGATTTGGATAGAGAGACAAGGTTGTGGTAATTTGTAGATTAAGTGCCGTCAAGCGATAATATTAATCCCGTCTATTGCACGATTGAAAATTTGGAGAAAAAACGTAGCCGTGATCAGAATTTTGGAATCAGAATAATAAGAACAATTTATCGCTGAATAAGCCATATAAATATAAATTTACATGAACAACAGATGAATGAAAATTTTATCGCGGATTTTGAAAAGTAGTTGAAAAATCTACGATTCCTCTGATTTTTATTCAGCATTCTAAGATGGAACTAAAAGCTCAACAATTACTCTCCAAGCAACTTGATAGCTTATTACTAAAAGTCAATGGAGTAATGGTGATAAGTTCCTTTTTTTCTAGAGTTTTCACCAACATCATTAGATTTCCTCGACCTGACTAGCTCATATAAATGTCAGTAGGTACCAGTAGGTTATATCGTCAGAGGAAACATGTTTGATATCATCCGTCCGTCATTCACCTTCAATTCATCTTTTTTTAAAAAAAACATCAAATTCTATATACCAGATCTTTCACCATTATATCACCATTAAATTCATTTAATTACACTTTTCTTATCTTTAAGTCTTTGAAAGCCATTAAAACCCATTTAAATATTAAAAAAAACTTACTAACAATTTCGTAAATGTGATTTGAAACTGATAAAAGCGATGAATGACTTTGTGAAGGTAACAAAGGATTCGTTTGCGGTCCTCGAAGCAGACGCGATATCCATCCTTGTGGACTTGAAATGTGCGCTATTCGTCTTGATTCCTCTAACAATTTCCCAGCATCCTTATCATTATCACTTGTATTCTCGTCGTCTCGAGATTTTTTTGAATAATTTCTTCCAACGTTTATCGACGTGTTTCTATAAATTTAGCATTTAATATAAATTAATTGTAACAGTATGGAAACCATAGTAGATAGGTGAATCAAACAAACAAGGCAAACAAGTCAAATCAGAAATGGTTTGCGCTATCAGAGCAAGAAGATATCACTGATAAGGAAAGCACAACAGCCAATATAGCTATTAGTGTTTCGGATTTTGATAAGCAATCTTAGAAAACCAACAGTGAAAATCATTTACCCATTAATAGATAAACAGCGATACACAAATGCTGGCGAGTAGAAATTCAAACATTTCACTACATTTATGACCATTCCTTCCCAAAAAAAGAATAATTATTTACGAGTTAATCGCTGAAATGTGTGAATTTAAGAAAGAACATAAAAATATTTGCGCGATTTTGAAGAAATTTTGAAGACTTTTGGTTTCAACTAATTCCACAGGGCGGCGGATCCGAAGCCTTCGGAAACCTAATAGTTAGTGGAGGCAGAAAAGCCAAAAAATGGTACTGCAGAACGAATTTATCAGAGAATCTGAGTGAACATTTTCACGAGTTTCATATTCTAAATTTTTATTTGATAAATTACATTTGTAAAATTTAGCAAATTTAGCAAAAATATAGCAAATTTCAATGAAATACAATTAGCAAATTTAGCAAATTAGAAAGGCAGAACATGTCGAATGTTCCGCGTAATGCCAAGTCACCACGGATTCAATTCCAATCGAGAAGAAACAGGAGAAAACCCGTAAAATAAAATCTTGCGAAAGGGTTCATCCACCAATACTTCTAGCACCGAGCGACTCTCTGTTGGTCCTCTGAAACGAGGAAACCCTAACCAGAAATGGAGAATGGTAGAAGAAGAGAACTAGTTCCATTTACAAATGAATTCATAAAACTGACACGTTGATGTTGTCCATGTAATGCTAATTGAGAGCGCGATGGCCGTAAAACTATTGTCATAACCCATGGGGCCGAAGCTGCGGCCTAGAGATTCGTAAATTTCGTTATCCTCACCTAAATTTTTCTTTTTTTTTTTGTGGCGCGGAGTTTGTGGGAAGGGAGAAAGGGAAGGGGGGAAAGGGAAGGGGATTTAATAATAAATGGTCGAAACCTCTTAAAAAGCTTAAAATGCATATTTCGCATCTGAAGAGTGAGTGACTCGCCAGTTCTACTTAGTTCTCCCCTGTGGAGCTTAATGTGAGTGGAAATTTTTTACCGGCAAATTTTTCAGAATTATGAATAGGTGGTCAGCCTATTGTTTAAGGATGGGTTCGCTTCTTGGTGGAGGCTCCGAATCCATAGCCCCCACTGCTAATCTGAATCATTACTCAAGCTGTCGTTTGCAATTATGAAATAAAGGTGGCAGTTATCTGTCAATGACTACAAAACAGAGAGTGCTGGGTTCGTCAACTTCTGTCTCATTTCTGATTTGGCTAACCTCGCTAAATGCTTGAGTGCGGCACTTCTGCGGCACCGATGTGGCAATTGCCTGAAATTAATTGAACCCCGCTTTGTAAGTCCAAATTAGCAAAACTTTACGATTATTTCGAATTTGAAAAATCCCACTTCATCAGATGTGTGCATCTGATTCCCCCTATTCCCGTATTTCATTTGTAATTTCAATGGCTGTAGTTGACTGCTCCATTGGTTTGCTTCTCGTTTCCAGTTGGGATCTATGAAAACCTGTCATTAGATTTGTCTCGGCAGCTATGGTACGGCCACCTATAATTCTATTTTCAAATGGCTGTCTGATGAAAATGTCTTATTTATTTTAGTAGTGATTTTAATCAATTTTCGTAATTTTAAAGTGAAATCTTTTGTTGTTAAAATTTTATCGTTCATTTTTCAGTGTCTGTTCAGTGGAAATATTATTTTTCATTATTTAATTTCACTAATTGCGCGGCATAAGATATATCGTTAACAGCCTATGTGTTCAGTACAATATTTTTTCAGGGATCTTAACAATGAATTCGGTTAGGTTTGGATTGTCAGCAGTCACTCGGTCTTCCGTAAGTTATTAAATTTCTTTCTACTTTTTCGATGTTATATAGCTGCGGTAGTTGCTTTGTTGGCTGATTTATTAAGTTTATGTTTAGATGGAAATTTTTGCCTGAGAACCACCTGAGGACAAACCATCTATCCTTGGTACAAATTTTCGGGTACGAAGGAATATCAGCACTAATATCATATCAGAATTCTTTTTTCCATGAAAATGAATGGCACCTTTTAGGCAACCAAAAAATTCGATTCAAATTTAACATTTTAATTTTATTCATTCTTTTTCGATACTTTTAGATGCAGTTGTTTGGCCGTGCGTTTATATCATCGTCATCTTGTGCTGCACAAAAATTGGACAAATTTGATTCTGATGCTCCTCAGTCAAAAGATTTTCCCTCTTCAAGAAAATCAGCTATGAGGTATCAGATAGTTGCGGTTATAGATATGATAGTTGTCACCATTCTTTTTTATTTTTTCTTCCAATGAAATTTTCTGAATTTTTCCATTTAATTATAGAGTTTTTCCTCCGAAAAATTTTTTAATTGTCAATTCATTATCGGTTCATTATCTTTTTCATTATTGATTATTGTTTTAAAATAGTCTCTGCTTCATTAATAAATGTTTTTTGTATTTTTTTATGTGAGGAATATCTTTTGTTATCTTTTATTTTTTGTATTCTTTTTTTAAAAATAGATCTTCGATAACTTTTAACTTTTAAATTTCTGTAGATTTTCCAACATTTAGATTTTTCATTGAATTTAGAGGAATTATAAAATTTTTTTAAAACAATTGCTGTCTTGATGATTGATTGGTAAATTCGTATCTAAAATTTCAGTTTCAATCAAATACAGTTAATTGGTGGTTGTATGGATAAACCAAAATTGCGAATTTCTAATAAAGGAACTGAATTTGCCACTTTCTATGTGATAACGAATCACAATAGAAAAATGAGAGGTTTTCGTTTTTATCTTTTTCATTTACTCCTACTTCATTATTTCCTTTGTTATTGCTTAATTACTTAATTACCTCCATGTGTTTCATTCATTAGTTTTAGAATTGATTTTGTCTGAAAATTCTTTGTTTATTCATTTATTCAATTTTTAACTTGTTTAATTTTTTTCTTTCTTTTCAATCATTCAAATATATTTTTTCACTACAGATGGCTCTTGGTTTGAAGAATCTATGAAGCATACTGTTCAGGCTTATGGTAATTTATCGAAAATTGCAATGTCTTACATTGAAAAAGGTTGCTATTAATTGTCCTTTAGAGATCTTGGCATCTTTTACTTCTTTCTTTTATAAGGTGTATTAAAAAATAGGCAAATTTGAGTTTTTAATGGAATTTCATGAGTAGTATTTTCCATTATTGTATTTTTTCAAAGTTCATTGAATTGAATTTTCTGTTGCATTCGTGCTTATAAGCTTTTTTTGATTAGAAATGAAACGTCTTCTTATATAGTCGCTTGCACCATTGCTATTCTGGTTCACTGGCAATTAACATAAGATTCCAGGTCTTTCAAAACCTCCTGATCCAATCTCTTGATAATAAATAAAAACATTCTTTTTTCGATCGTCTATGCCTTTCGTTAATCTGCTTATGCGTTTAGTATCTTCCCTAACAGTCTAGGCCTCAATTGATTTCGCTTGATTTTCGATAGCATCTGTTACAAGAGCAGGCTTTGTAACGGTACTTTTAATTCATGCGAAGTGGACGAAATTATGTGAAATTCTGTATGGTGGATACGTAGAATATATCTGCATGGCTAAAGGTGTTTTATATCTTCCACTGTTATTTGCTTTGTTTTGTAGCGATATAGTAGGATTATTATAGATAGATGCGAATTATTCTAGGTTAATTTTGCTATGATTCTAAAAAAAGGTAAAGATTTTGGAAAATATTGCGTTTTTATGTGTGAATCTTGGCTCTCGATTTGTGTGGCCATCTAACTCTTCCCTCATTGACCAGAATATAGATAGTCCGATTACTATATCGTAATATTATCTAGCTATACAACTTGATGCGATGTTGGAGGCACACATTGGTAGGTAAAAGGTCCATACAAAAAGTCCATACAAAGCAAAGACATTGCTATACTAAGTTTCTAGTCTATGCATTTTTCAATTTCTCGCAATCACGATAGTTTTTTGAGAGGGATATTATTATTTCGGCATAGAATCTATTCTTATCCATTTTTATTTGTCGACCACAGCACTGGAATATAAATAATGATTGAGATATTGCAGAATTTAGCTTTTAAGTAGTCGCAAGGCAACCGATTTTTATTAAAATTCCACCGCATTTGACGCATTGTTTGAAACTGATACGTCAAGTCGTTATTTTTTAAATTAAGTTAATTACTATTACTATTAATTACTATTAAATTAAGTTTAATTACTAGACCCAGAATTAGGAAAATGGACTTCTAGGCAAGTAATGTCCACACGATATTTGGATAAAACTGGCTATCTATATTCATAAGCTTGGTGACTTTCCACGCACCTATGGCCGAGGTCTCACACACAGTCGTTTATCAGACTTCCTTAGTCTTAACTGAATTAGAGCAATTCATTCAACTTACTTGACTGGTTTAATATTATTTTCTAGCTCGACTCGCATATTTGTTACTTTTATGTCGATGTTTTAGGGATACCGTGTCTAAATATGTCGTTTGATTCACCCGTTAATCTTAGAATTATTTGGGAAAATACTGATGGTCTTTAGCAATCACCTGTATTTGACCTTATTTACAGGTTCATTCCTTTAAAGACAAAGAAAATCGAAGGAAATTACAATTACAAAACCAAATATAAAATACTCCAATTACTATTCCAATATTTTAATATTCCAATTCCAATTGTTCCAATTATAAAATTATTAGTAGAAAGAAAATTTAAAAAAAAATTTTGCGAGAAAATTTTGTGGCCTAAAAAAGAAAAATTTTGATTTTTACAAAAAAAAAGATTAAAACTTTCGTGAAAAAATATGAAAATATATGAAATAAAAATTCAAATCAATGAATGAAAATAAGGGAAAGAATAGATTCATATCTCATGCTTTCGGCAAATTCTTTAAATATCTTACAAATTGCATAAAGTGAGAATTTTCAGAAAACGTTTATTTTTTTCCGCACATAATAAAAATTTAACAAATTTATTGCACTATGCACTATCCGTTATTTCTTTTAGTTTTTGAGTTAAATTTTTAATTTCAGGAACAAGAGTTTATATCATGGGACGTTTACGTCCTTACCGGTTGCAATTAGAAGATGGTGGAATCATTACGTTATCAACTGTGGCAGTTGATAAGATGCAGATTATTTCACATAAAAGTACTTTATCTAATCGTGATTTAGAACATGATATTGATGATGATTTCGGTGAAGATGAACAAGTTAATGTTGATGCTGATTTGGATGCTGCAGTTGACAAGAAATCTGCAAAAGATTATATGGAAAATATTGATAAAGCATCCAAAAAATCGTCCGCTTAATATTATTTGTTTTATATTGAAAAACAGTTATAGATGAATTGAAGAATGTTTGTTTAGATTGATAGGAAAAAATGAAAATCAACGAAAATTGATGGTGCAGTATGTAAAAATTTTTTAAGGAATCTTTAGAAAATTTTTTTGAAAAAATGTTTCGAATTTCGAAAATTTTTAAAATTTCCTGTCATTCTTGTTAATTTCTTATTATCGTCGTTTTACATAATTTCTTTGGAATTAAAATTTATTTATAAAATTGTGATTTTTTTATGTCTGAGGAAGTTTTCCTGAATTTATAGATGTCAGTAGCTAAAAGGTAAAAATGTATTTCGAAGGATTCTCAAGGTTCTTGAAACTTTGAATGTATTTGTGAGGATAGTTAATGGGGGAAGATTATTTAACATAACATTTAAAATGCTGTTTTTTGAATTTCATTTTTAAAATATACATTGTTAGAATTTGTTATTAATGTTGATTTTATCAATATTTTTACTGGTTCCAAGATGATATTTGTGCTTCGATTAATGTATTTCCCAGAACTGTATGGTAAATGGTTGGTTTTTTAATCTATTATCATTCACCATTTTTCAATTGGCTGTATCTGTTTGGCAGTTTCCAAGCTTTTCGAAATAAATTTTTTTAAAGCAATTTTTTGATTTTTTGAAAAAGAGATGTTTTTAGTTCGACAATTTAATATCCAGCTAAGTATATATTCTTAACTTTTCTTAAATTTTACTGAGTTAGAACTTCTTGCTTTTGGTACCATTCACCATAGGATGTAACAAGTGTGAGTGGGGGTGTACGTGAATGAGCCTAAGAATGAACCGACGGAGAGCGAGTAAGCAGGCTCATATCTGCGGCTCATATGCTATTTGAGAAGTTCCAACTCCGCCAGCATTTATTTTTTTATTTTTAATAAATTTGTTTTTTTAGGCATCCGCAGTGCGATTTTAAATATGCAATCACGTATGATTTTGCATGATTGGATTTCGATTTTCTGTGATAAATCGAATATCGATTTAGCATTTCCAATGAAAAAAATCGTGAGTGATTATATTTTTTGTAGACAACAATTATTCGCGAACAGATCTGAATAATTATTTATTTATTTAATTTATTTATTTAAATTTCAGTTTTAAATCGCATAAAATTGTTTAAAAAATTTTTTAAAATTGAATCCTTGTCAAGTTTTGCAAAAAAATTATTCCAAAAAAATTTTTTTTGATTTTCGGAAAATTAAAATGTTTTTTTAGTTATGCGATCCATCGTCGATGCCTCTGTGTACATTCTTTATTGGTAAAGATTACTTTGCTAAATTCGAAGGAACTTACGGACGTGTACAACTGGAGGATATTTGTCGTGAGATACAGAAAAAGCATGCATTTTCTTGTATTTAGTGCAAAAACAGTTAAAGTCCAAGTGGCTACTGGGGAATTCACCTGCATTTGTATCCGCAACTAAGTGTATGGTGAAAAGATCTGGTTTTGTTGATGCTATATTCGCCTGTTCCGTTGCGCACGATGTTCTTAGCATAGTGGTGCATGCGATAAATGTATAAACCAGGCGTTAAATGATTCCAAATTTTGAAAATAAGCCATCGAGCCAGAATAATCATTCGAAATCTGTTAAAGGACATGAATAAATGAACTATTGCGGACATATAACAGATTGACTATCAAGCGATCACTGTCGACATTGTCCAAATATCATGTGGACATTGCCTACTTGTCAAAAGTCGACTTTCGAGTAATTATCAAATTTAGCTCTAACTGAGGTACCGGTAAAAGAATTATTGTGGCTTCGAATATTTCGGGATGAAACTGCGTTGCAATTATCATTTTAATCTGAATTGGTTGCATGAAAATTGATTATTACCTTTATGGTCCAAATCCAAAAAGAGGTTCTTCTTGCCTAGATAACCATGGCAAAGACAGGTCCGCTTTGTTGAAGAACATGTACTTTTTATTAGCACATCGGATTTCAGCATCGGAGTTTAATAAAATTTTCCGGATCGTATAGAGCTTTCCAGATAACCAACATTCCAGATTAATTACATCTAGCCAGTTGTTACTGAAAGAGTTCCATATTATCACGAGGTTAAAATTAGTAATATTCTTGGATCAAATCGTATTATTAGCCAAAATCCATAAAGCATAAAGATGATATCGCACAAGAAGTAGTTCCTCATAAAGCAACCATTTAAGATAAAAATTTAATCCACTCTTTTACCAAATGGCCAATCAGAATTGTAGCCTGGATAACCGTAGCGTTATTTTTTCGTCTGGTGGAATCACCATCAAGCCAAAAGTTGAAAAGTCATGTATTTGGCTGCAGTGTGCATCATCCGATTAGATAGCTACGAGATATGGCCAATGAGAGTGGAACATTTTAATAGGCTATTTTGACTGCATTTAGGCTCTTTACTCTAGCTAAAGGAATCAGCTTAACCAAGAATGGTAAAAGCTTTATGCATCATTCAGTTCAATTATTTTGACTGCAGTATTTTTTCATTAATTCTTTAATCTTTGAATATATTTCAGATATCGACGATTATCACTTAAGTTTTTGCTTCAAAATTCCTTGCCGGATTCAAGAAACTGGTCTTTTGAGAAATTAATCAAGTTAGCCATCCTTTTTCGAATTTATTGTTTTTTAAGGATTAAAATTTCAATAAAATTTCTCATTTTACAGATCTTATGTTACATATGCGCAATATCGATTTTACATGCGGAATGTTTTTAAGTTTCTAATTCCTGATAAATTGTTAGGACCGTATAATTTTAATAAAGTCATCGATGCTATTGCTAGAAATATATTCTACCTGTGGTCAGTCAGTTTTCAATTAATGAGTTTTTCTTACCTATCTTTATTACTACTCGAAAGAATGAAGCATAATGTACCATATTTTTAATAAATAATTTCTCAGCCGCAACGAGGCAATACAGCTTCACAATATTTGCATTTCATCCTTGAAGCCTTCAAAAGTTATTTGGATGCGATCATTCAATGATGAAATGAATAAGAAAGACATATTTGTAAGATTGCTGTCCGCAGTCCTTGATCTCGCTATTTTTGTCACAAAGTAAGGAAATATGAATTATTAAATTTTTGGCGATAATTTTTGTTTTTTCGGTATTCATCATATGTTTTTATCATTTAATTATATTATTTTATAAAAAATTGGTATGAGATTTTTTTATTCTTGATTGTATGTACTTATCAAATGCTTGATCGATATTCATGTTTTATTATTTATGGAATGTTTCAGAGCATCGTTCTATGTGACCGATATGCGTAACTCCAACGCTCTTTTTTTCTACTCCAAAGTTGTTTGGAAACAAATCGAAAATCATGGTTTCTCCGAGTTAAAAAAGTTGTTAAAATTGTCGGAAACCGAAAAAGAAGGACAAACTTCATTTCATTTGGATGAAAATGATGCCAAATGTAACGTGCTTTTTTTGTGCTTTTTTACCAAAATGCATTTGTACATAATTTATATAATTTATATTTTTCTGAAATTTGTTATCTAAATTTCTCTTTTTATTAATTGTTTAAGGTTCCATCTTTAATGTGCGATTTATTCCCAGTGGCAATAAAGTTCGCGCAATTATGGTGCCTTCTAATTCTCGAACTTACAAGCACCAAAAAGGTGCTCTATCAAAAATAAATTACTTATTGGATTATATATGTAAAGAAAACCAAATGTATCAAGGAAAAAATTTGACTGGAGCGGCTGTTTTGCAAAGTGATATTTCTAGTTTTTTTTTATTTTTAAAAACATGCAATAGTTCTGGGCATGGATGATTTCACTAATTATTAAGGTGCTACTCGTTCGCCAGAGAATAATTTGCTGGTAGAGGTCTAGTTTTCCCCAAATTTTTTTTTAATGCTGACTGGTTTATACTGACCGTTGAGGGACCGAATTAACCTTGCTTGTCCTCTTCGACTTTCAACAGCCAATGTCTAATGATTTAATTTCAGAGTTTCCTCTGAACATCTGACAATTTTTTATGAAAAAATTTTCTTTTAATGATGGTGTAATTTGAAAGGATTGAATAAGTGGTTAGCACTTACTTTTTCTGGTTATACTCACATTGGCTGTTAAGAAACAGTTTTGCTAGAAAGTCATTTGGGTAGAGAATTGTTAATTGATCCAATGCGTCACTATGAATTACTTATAAATATTTCGAGAATTTCTTTGAAAAACATAATCTTTTTAGAACGACGTTTTTTTGAAGATTTATTTTCAAAATATGCAAAACAGAATCGCAAAAAAAAAATTTATTCTGTTCGAACAGATCTAAGACAATGCTTTGATCATATGGATCATGTCCTGTTAAAAGGAATTATTTCAAATATTATTGATTGCGAAAGGTTTTTAATATTTTTTAAAAATATTTGCAAATTGTCTCTCTTTTAATTTTAGACAGATTTTTCAAAAACTGTGGATCAATTGAAAAATCTTTGCCTTTTCGTATATTTTCCTGGATCAAATAGAATGAAAAATAGGAAGAAAAGTTTTGGTGGATATTTTGTTTTACTTTAATTTTAAGAGGAACATTTAGAGTTTAGTCAGACCATTTCTCAATTGACGTTGATGCTTCAAAATTTCAAAATTTGCAGGAATTATCTTTTTAAAGCCTGTGAACGCCTTACTAATCAATACTCTACGGTAGATAATTTTTCTCCTGCGATTTTTCATTCTTTTCGATGGTTAATTACTGATTTTTTCTTATCTTTAAGATTTTTATGAATGGGAAAAAAGCAATGGGAATTATTGAAAATACTGTGATGAATCGTAAGGTATAATTATCGCGAATTTTGCATTGATTTTTGATAATTGAAATTGGAAAAAATGTTGCTTTTCGGCTTTATTCTAAATATCTAATAAAGTGTTATTAATATTTTTTCGAAAATTTTTCCCATTTTATATTATTGTTTTAGATTGCCTATCGTGGAAAAGTGTACACAGCCAGTTGCGGTATTCCTCAGGGATGTCCGTTATCAACTCGTCTTTGTAATATTTATTTGGGAATGATGGAACTCGAACATTTCGCATATTTATTTGATGAGCGCAAATCACTTTTATTTCGTCATATAGATGATTACGTTTTATTAACGACAGAAAAATTGCTTGCTGCAAAAGTAAAATTTCAAAATCTTTTTCTTTTTTTTCAGCTGCTTTTATTATTTCTGATTCAGCTAACCTCACTGCTTGCTAGTATGAAACTTTTTTGATAGAATTTCATTATTATCTTGTGAATAGCGATATAGTTGAATTTCCAACAGCTATTTGGATTTTATTTTTAATGGCGGATTTGTTATAGTAACAACTAACAACTGTTAAGGGACAAGAATCGAATCTATGTTGCTAGATTCAAAGCAGTATATGATTTCGAACCTATGTTGCTAGATTCAAAGCAGTTTGTGATTCAGTCATCCTTCTCCGGATTTCTTCACTTTTTATTTATCCGAATTCGTGCAAAAAAATCTACAAAAACTGAAATGAACGAAATTCAATAGAATAAAATTATTAGAATTATCGTCAAATCAAATTTTTTTTCATTCATATTCGCATTTTTGCAGTTTTTGGAACAAATCTTAAATGGCATTGATAATTACAATATGGTCGCAGATCCTCTGAAAACAGTTATTAATTTTAAGTCTAATTTAAATTATCCATTCAAATTTATTCATATGAATGGTTATATAACGTGGAACGGCTACGATATTTTTCCAGCTGTTTTAAAGGTTGAAATGAAACTGATTAAGCCATTGTTTTCTTTCTAGAATTTGAAGAATAGTTTCGTTAAATATTTTATAAACGACAGCCATTTAGATATCTGCGTCACAGTCTAATTCTAAAACTTCAGTTGTTCCACCTTTCAAACTCTATCTCAGCTCTTATGAAAAGAGATTAACGATTCGTAAAATTGTTAGGGCGGCGGTGTCTCAAAGGTTACGGAATTTCTTTTAATTTTAATTAATACTTAAAGCGGTTATCAGTTTAAATTTGCAGATATTTTATTCTTGTACGATTGAGCTTCGGCATATGGAAGACAGTGGTTTTGAAAAAGCTAAGCTGGATTGCTTATGATTTGTATATTCAGCCTCTTGCTAAAAAGCTCAATCTTAATCCTAAGGTAATGATTTTGGGAAGCATGGGATTATTTTTATTCATTTTTAGTAATTTCTTTTAATTTTTTTGTTAAGATTTATCGCTGCAAAATATAAATTTATATTTATTTGGTTACTCAAAAATTATTTTATTTCTTTTTTTTTGGTTCTTTTAAATTGATCATTTATTCTTTATAATTTTTCGTTAGGAAGCATTGTTTTTTATTTCTTATCATTTAGTTTTTATCATTTATTTCTCAATTATAATCTTTCACCTTTCAATAGTAAGAGAATTTTCAGGCTTATTGGAATCGACTATTTATGAAACATATCAGAAAATGGATACAGCAAGGATTCAAACAAAAATCTAATCCAAAATTAACTTATCTCTTCAATCTTTGATAGTTTGTTTTTTATTGAATTAATTTCTAATCCAATTTTTTTAGAATCTTCTTCGCACATTTTTTCTCCGTGAAAATCTATTAGCAATGAGTCTTATGTGGTTATGTAGAGAGGTGGTTTCCTAGCAGCCATCCAGATATATCATTTTTAATGAAAATTTTTATTCTTTTTAAGAGATAGGCCTCTAATTCTACTACTACTGCTTTCTATCAAATTGCCATTTCAACCATTATTTTCATATTTTTTTTATATTGATAAAATGAAAATGTGTTAAACGATTCACTAATAGTTTTAAAAATAATTTAAATCTACACATTGAATTTTTGTCTATTAAATTCTTTTGTTTGTTATGTAAACTTACAAAGAGTGAATAAAACAAAATGAAATTTTGTCAGGAAAAATGCAGTTTTCTCTTTCTTTTCAAGTTGATCGCCAAAAATCAATGAACTAGTTTTGTTTTATTTTAAGTAATTTTCCTTATTACGAATAATTTTTCTATTTTTGTAAATTTTTTAGAAAATTGCTGTAATCATTTCAAAAGAAATGAAAAAACCATCAGTTTAGAAAGAATATATTTATATTTTTCATTTACCAGTTAATATTTTCGATTCCAACTTCAGTTTACCGGATTTTCATCAGACACAAGGATTTCAATTTTAATGATTACTGCCATACAAATGTCACTTGCTCATCATCCTTACTAAATCTGTTCAAATGAATTTTAAATGAGGTAAAATAAACTAGTTTTAAACGATTTAAACGATTAGCCTTGTTGTTGACAATGATCAAGAATGAAAAATAATTTTGTACAATAAGTTAGGTAGATTGTTCGCATAAGTTGTAAATCCTAAATTATGATTATTTCCGAATGAGACTGTTTTTTCGAATTCTTTTTTTGAGTCAAGTACTTCGGTGGTTCTCATTTTTGCGATTTTTGTTCATAGTGCAAGTAATACGGTGTTGTTCCAAAAAGTGATTGCTACCTTGGTATGGATTATGCCTTCAGCATTCTCATGTATAAAATTGTTTATTCTCGCTCTTTTTGCATAATTTATTCGTTTAGGCTGAAGAACATGTATTTCGTTATATTATTATATTTATATTAAATATTTGCTTAAAAGATTTATCTTAGAAATTCCTTCAGTTCCTTCAAAATCATTTGTTATAAAAATTTATTTCTTATCCAAATATTCGTTAACAGATAATAGTGAAGAGAGATAATTAATTCATCAAATATTTTGATATGTGATTAATAAATCCATTTTATTTCGAATATTTCGTTTATCAAAGATTTTCGTTACATTTTTATATTTTATTTCATATTATATTTTCGTTATATATTTCGTTTTTTTTTAAAAAATCGGTCGATTTATTTTGAATTATGTGAAATTATAAAACGGTGAAAATTGTGGAATAAAGAATTTTGAAGGAACTTTATTCTTTTCGAATTATATTGTAGTTTAAATAATAATTCGGTATTTTTGACGAGTTTTTTTACAAAAAAGTTTTCTATAATATTCTTATAATTATTCCTGTAATTATTATTAAAAAATTTCTTAATCTTTGGCAGATTTCGTGGAAACCAATTCTCGGTTTGATTTACAGCGATATCATTTACGATGAAAATTAGTGGTGAGAAGAAATTCGCTAGCAGAAATAGTACAGCATTGAGAGAAAATAAGGATTAATGAGTGGGAAGGAAGGAAAGAAAAGGAATGGCAGAAAAGGAGTAGTCCAATGCAAGCTTCTTCATTAATACCCTATAGATATGGGCAGATAACGGATAAGTAACAAGAGGACTATCCTGGTAATCATGCTTTTAGGTGTGACGCAATTAAAAAGTGTTCACTATTTTCGGTTAGACTCCGCTCCGCTACCTTATCAGATCCAAGCGAAGCGATCCTGCCAGAGAACAGCGATAGAATCATACTGAGCACGGGCGTCGTGTGTTTGCAATAAAGCGAATTGGAAATTAAAATCTGAATTGGTGGAATTTAATAAAAAATGCGTGAAAATAGTCACCTAAAGTTATTAGTTTTCCATTCGTTATTTTGAAAATAAAAGCTGAGCGATTTCATTCGCTTGAGTTATTTCGAATAATTTATGTGAAATGCAGTGAGACGAAAAATTGGAAAACGAGAAATAAGTAATGAATGAATTACTCGATTGGTTCAATAATAATTTCTGTATTCATTGTCATAACCTTGCCAGAGTAATTAACTGTGAATGATCGACTGACTAAGTAACTAACTGATTGACTGACCGAATGGCTGAATAAGTGATTGGTGATCATATCCAATGGAGGAGAATTAATAGTCAATGGACGGAATGCATTATGAAGAAGAAACATTCACCTATTCATTGCTGGTTGAGTTTTATAGGAGTACTACAGTATGCGAAGGGTATTTCTGATTAATGAAGATGCAAAGGAAAAACCGTCGCAGAGCAAAATTTTGTAAAATTGATAAAATCTTCTAAAACCGAGTCATTACCATAACCGAGTGATCATATTGAGATGGAACGGAAGGGCAGCAGGCGCTTCTGCCGCCGGAGTGAACCTATCATTAAAAGATTCGAATGGTGAGAGCCTCTATCGCCAAATGGTCCTAACCGTATTGATTGACAGCCAGAGGAGCCTGACTAACGAAATACTAAGTGCTAACCACTTAATGATCAATTGGGAAGAGAGTTGGACCTTCGACAGCTACTTGGATGCTTCAATGTCTTTAATGCGAATCGAATCCTTGCAATATTCTATATCCTCACCAAATTTATGGTTTTTTCGGCAACTATGCTGAAGAATTTTCACACTGGCAGAACTAATCCTTAACATTAAAACGATATTAATTGAATTATTATTTGTTAATTTTATTATTTATAAATTATTTATCAATTAAATAAAATTACTAATTTTAAATTATTTTTACAGCCTAAACTATAATCTATAATTTTTAATGATATGTTGGCACCTAACTAACCGATAAGAACCATAAATTTCAGAGAAAACTCGAGCTTTTTAGCTTCATCATTTCTGATTAGACTCGATTCACTGGCCATTGATACACTTTTGGCAGAAGACAGAAAACAGGTAGCACCACAAAGTTGTAAAATCAGCGGTGAAAATCCAGTTTATGGAAGCGACAAAAATTGGTCAACAAATATGATTACAGTTGATGTACAATAAAAGGAGTTGAGTAGAAGATCGAATAGTTGTTTGGCAGTTAGTTACTGCATTTATAATTGCTCATTCTCGCCGCAATATTTTCTCTTATTATCTTTTATAATTACAATAAACCATCAATAATATAGTTTATTTATTTAATCCATCCACCCATCCACAACAACAACTAGTTAGTTGCAATCATTTCTACTCTTTCGCCTGACTCAAATCCCTCTCTGTTTCGGTTTCCCTTGGCTGACGACCGAGCGATACGATGGATGGATTCGGTTCATTTCCCTTAACTTAAATAAAATTCATGTGTCGTTTCCAATTTTTCATTTTATAGGTTCTTAACTGTATTTCAGTTAAATATTTCAGAGTCTTAAAAAAACCGATTGAATTAACAATTATCAGCTCGTTTTCGGTTTTTTGTCCTCTTTTTAAATTATTATATTGATATTCAGTTCAGGAATAAATCATTTGTGTTTTGCTTAGGAAAGACTAAAAAAGACTAAAAAAAAATTTGTCACAAAACATAAAGTAAATTTTTATAAGTACGTAGGAAATTTCAATATAACCCATTGAGCACTACTAATTAGGCTCGCTTCGCTGACTTGTTGGATCAGACAAATTTTGCCAAGGAATTAGGAGTCATTTGGTGATGGGAATGGAGGGGGCCATCACCGCCTGGTAATGTAAAATTAACTATAAGAACCGAAAAGAGTCTAAAATCCTTTAAGTAAATTATTGTGTTAATAAACTATAATAACCTTGGAATTTGTCCTTTTTGGTATTTTACCTTGAAATGCGAAAAAAAATAAATATAAACATTAGTATGGTTGATTGTTTTCGTTATTTGTAAGCGTGTTTTTTATATTTTTTGAAATACATGAAATTACATGAAATTCGATTGACCGCTAAGTTGAAGCGTTTAGATGATCTTTTCGCTAGAGAATCACTAAGAGATGGAAGTACAAGTGGATCGCCAGCAACGCACCGGGTTTTACCCTCTATGGTAGGTTTTCGAACCTATATTGCTTCTCTTCTTACATCCCTATTGCACTACGAAAACTATCTTTTAGTTTCTAAAATTTCAAATGATCTATTAAAATTAATTTCTATCAAAATATTGACAAAAACATATTGTTCGAATAGTGAAAATAAAAATAATCCTCGACTACTTTTGATTGTAATTTGTCACGAGGCACAATAATACCACTAATAATAATATTGCCTTCAAAACTACCATTCATTTTCTCCTTTCTTATACTTCTAATATTTTAATAGCAATTTAATTTTCGCCATTAAATAGCCTTACAAATTTTTCTTCCACTTTTTCTAAAAGCGGCCATCATCTGTGGTTTAAAAGGCTTTACGGACTGGCAAGCGCGTCGGCTTTGCAAGTGAATCAAATGAAGAACCATAGATGGGAAGGTCTCTAAAACCATTCAGATTTCTTGAATGGCGGCTTTTCTTCCGGCTAGAAGTTTGTCTCCAATCGAAGCAGCGTTTTGCCATTCGACTATCATTTTCCATCCGGTTAAACTTATTTGTTGCCAGCATTTGAATTCTATCAATCTCATATTTCCGTCAATCTTCAAACAATGCATTCTATATTTACAATGATATTGGCTGAAGAAAGAACTAAAATTTTTTGCAAATCTAGTTTCATATGATTAAACAAAAAAATTCCAATACTTGTTAAAGAATGAAAATTTTCCACCATTCATTCCATTACTACACTCGCATTTCCCCACCGCCGCTAACCAACATTCTTTTCTGTTTCTGTTGTAAACCGTTATAAACTGGTTTAGTCTGCATCAGTTCAACTAAAATTCCA